CTTCCAGGGGAAAGGAGAGAGACTTCTGCCAGCAAAGGTCAGGGGTTAGGGGTGGGACTTCTGGTCCCAACATGGTGACTGATTGGAGCAGATTTCAAGGGGTGGGCCCAGCCCTGGGGCCCTCGACAGTTCACCAAAACTCATTAAGCAGCCCTCCAACTGAAATAATTGCCCACCCCTGATTTAAACTATGGGCAACACCAAATGGAGCATTATTGGAGAAGGGCTCTTTACCCATTTCCTTTTAAGATACAGCTTCACACTTTAAAAAATAACTAACTCCCCAAGCCCTATTTAAATGTCAGCTAAGGCAACCCTGGAATTGCCACAATTAATCAGCCTAGTCCAGTATCTTTTTTAGCAAACAGGTCTGTGACAACTGAATCAAAGGAATAGGCAAGAAGCCTTACAGCAGGCAGTGAAGAAGCAGACTTTCTCAAGGAATGCTGCTTCTTAACCCCCACTCAGCCATGAGTGGCTTATGCCCTGAGCATGAGGATTTTTTAACCCCTCCTAAAACTCTTGGTGGTTTGATTTATTTTAATCCTTGCTATTGGATAGTCTCATGATGCACATTCTATCCAATCTTTTTTTAAGTTTATTGCTGTTAAAATCTTGGTGGTTACCTGGGTTCCAATAGGGAAGTACCTTCATGAAGGAAACATTACTTATTAGTTACTAAAGGAAATTAAAACTGGAAATCAGGCACACATTTGCAAGAGCATTCCAGTGGTTAATCAGCTTCAAACTGCAAAGAGAAGTGGTGGATTCTCCATCTTGATGATGTCACATCAAGACTGGATGACTTTCTGAATGTTACTTTTAAACCAGATATGAGTTCTGGGGCTCAACCAGAGGTTATACTGTGAAATCCCTGTGCTTTGAACATCGTTAGACTGTGTGGATGTTTTTTTCTGGCTTTAAGCTCTTCACATGTATGAATTTTGGGCAGTGAGTTCTGTAGGCTGACAGCCTATTGTGTTTGATTGCTGTAAATCTGATATTGGTAATGAGCTTGTTTTTGTTAAACTGGCCTCTTCCTCTGCAAGCTCTGTGAGCAAAAGAGAGGAGGAAGATCTGCCAATTGAACACACTCATGCAGTGCATCACAGAATCACGAGTGTACCCCACTTAAATTCATAGGTGCATACTTTTAATGCGTCTGATGTTAATGTAGGTGTGCAAAGGAGTGTAGAACCAAACTTGGTTTTATACAGTATCAAAAACCTGGTTTAATACAGTATCCTTTTAAGATACTCTTGTGGATCTAGTGCCCACAAGAGAAGGCTGAGGGGGGAATCTAGTGGCCTGTTACAAACTAGTCAGAGGGGACCAACAGGCATTGGGGGAGTTCCTGTTCCCCTGAGCACTACCAGGAGTGATTAGAAATAACGGTCACAAGGTGGTGGAGGGTAAATTCAGATTAGACATCAGTAGGTGCTACTTCACAGTCAGGGCAGCTAGGATCTGGAACCAACTTCCAAGCAAAGTGGTGCTGGCTCCTACCCTGGGGGTCTTTAAGAGGAGGCTAGACGAACACCTTGCTGGGCTTGTTTGCCCCCAGTACTCTTTCCTGCCATGGCAGGGGGTCGGACTTGATGATCTGCTCAGGTCCCTTCCAACCCTACAAACTATGAAGCTACAATAGTAAAGGTATATCTCAAAATATTTAAGTATGCATAAGGTGGAGAGACTTGCATGCCTTTTCTTTCTCTCAAAAAGACATTTTGCAGTGGCTTTTAAATATTGTTTATGTTTTTGCCCAGCCAACAGTAAATACCCTTTAATGGTATGATAAATGCAATCATGTCAACAGCACCATAAAGCAGGAAGTTAGAAAGCTTAAGACCTGCAAGAGAGATGGTTATCAGTGCAATTATTAACAAATTACAAGGCAAAGGAAGAACTAATTTTTTTTTATTCTTTTACTATTCCAGGGTCTCCATTGTGACTTTGCTTGCCTAATGTTCCACTATTTAGTGAACAGGCCTTCAGAAGAGAGGGTCAAGGAGATCATTGTTAATGCAGTTGAAATTGAGCAGGTAAGACTGGGCAGAGCAATGGCATGGAGAGCAAGAACATTTTCACATGCCAAGACCCGACCATAGCATTATTAGAATTGCAAAAAATGACAGACTACAATTATGGACTAGTGATCAGTTCTAGCAGCTTTCTCCTGCCACTCTTAATACCCCTTCTTATCACTGAAATTAAAGGGCAAAGGCAATTCTTGTCAGGACTAGTCAAGTGATGATCAGTAGCTGCTAAAGCTGTTACCTGCACATGCTTGGGCCATATGCTCATCAAGGAAGGGATGTTTTTGTTCTAGTTCCTGTTGCTGTCCAGTTACTGTTGCTTTGGCAGTATGTTTGTGCGCCAATGTACTTCATTTCGGTAGCAGTTTAATATTACTCTTATAGACTCCCTTTGTGCTGTGATTTTACCTGGTACTCTTTTGGAAAATTAAAAGTGCCCCTGCCCCTCTTAATTGTACTGACAAGTGCTGCTCTAATGGCTTAACTGTTGGTGGGTAGTCCCCACAGTGACACAACCAGTTGACTGTAAGATTATGCTTCATTCCATAATGGATACATCGGGCTTCTAGGCCTATTTGATTTTGCGTTCTGACCTACAGGGTCTGATCCAGTTCTTAGCAAACTGGATGGCAAGTTTTTTTGATCAACCTTATTGATCTATAATGGGCTTACTATCCCATAATGAAAACATCTGTGAAGATGCTGTCTCTGTACATAAAATATGTGAAGAAAATTTAGGCAAGTACAAGGAGCTAATAAAAACAGGAGAGACTAGCTGAGTGATGTAGGTTATTTGAGCGGTAAACAGCCTCGGAGTCTGATTTAATAGGAGCATTGCAAATTGAATTACCATTGATGAGTGTTGTTTTCCTTCTTAAGTTGCATTGTCCCTTCTCTAAATGTCACCATTGTATTTTAATTTCCAGGAATTTTCAACAGAGGCTTTACCAGTAGGTCTGATTGGAATGAATTGCACGTTGATGAAACAATACATTGAATTTGTGGCAGACCGATTACTTGTAGAACTTGGGTTCTCAAAGGTGAGAAACTAGAGAGAAATGGCATGTCTGGGTATACTGGGTGTCTGGAATGTTGCTGTGTGTATGGGGGTCAGTCACATTTAATGCTGTAGAGTCATGCTTTCAGCTGTTTATCACAAAAAACAATGTTAGTATTTAATTTTTTAAAGAAGTAAGGGCAATTTCAGCTTTTTTTCTGGCTGTTGTTTCCCTATAGCTACTATATGGATTTTAAACTAGGAATGGCATGTTGCATTCAGATGTACCAGAACAACATAGATATAATCTAAGTAGGACTAGGATTTTTTTAATATCTTTGTGGAACCAAACATTTACATTAATTGCATGAGGATAATTAAGTCTTCTGGTAACCCAAGAGTAAATCATTTGCTGTGATAGTGATTACCTTGGGAATTTGGGCATTCTTTAAAGTAACAAAAAATGAACAGATGAGAAATAAGTTGGTGGGGGTTGTTTAGAGATGAGTTATGCTACTTGTACACTGGTGCAAACAGTGTCCGGTAGAAAATCATTCATCAATATACCTTGTCTGTAAATGGTATGTATATGTACAGGTACTCCTCATTTAATGTTGTCCCAGTTAACATTGTTTCATCATTACGTCACTGATCTATTAGAGAATATACTCGTTTAAATTCGTGCAATGTTTGGTTACAACATTGTTTGGCCACCAGAAAAGCAGTAATCAATGGATTTTACCTTTTACCAGAGGCAAACATGGATTTCTCATTTTACAAGAGAAACCTGCAGATTATGCTGTTTTGCAGTGAGCTCCATGAAGGCTGGCAGAGTTTCAGCATGCAGGGAACTGGGAGGGAGCAGGAGGAAGATGGTGAGACGGGGCGCCATGTGCATGGACATGCATGTGACCCCAGGCAGCCTCCAGGACAATTCCAGCAGCTAAGTGGGAGGGGGATTGAGGCCCCTGTAGGGAGGGAGCTGCTACCCAGCTGGGTGGGGCTTGGGGCCCGCAGCCGCAAAGTGCAGCTGCAGGGCCCCAGTGGGGAGCAGGATGGGACTGCGGGTGGCTTGTTGGGGGGAGAGGGAGGGCCTTGCATGTTCCTGGGGGGCAAGGAGGACCTGCACCCCCAGATCTGTGCATGGGGCAGGCTGTGGGCACAGGCTTCCACCCTGCGCCCTCCCCTGCTCTGCAGGCAGCCCAGTGTGGCTGGGGACAGTGGGGCTATATGAGGATCTCCTTGCTGCTCCAAGCTCTGCCACCCCCAGCTGCCCAGGCAGTGTGCCTACCACTGCTTTGAGGGACACAGCCCCATGTTGCTGCCCTCACTGCAGCCCCACACGCAGGAGGTACATTGTCAGGGCAGCGTGGGGTGAGCAGTGGTGAGGAGATCCCCACATGGCTCCTCTGCTCTCTGCTGTGCCAGGTCATGAGGAAGGGAAACAAGGCGGCAGGGAACAGTGGCAAGCAGCTTCTCGGCATGGGTGCTGCCCTACTTCCCTTCCCTGCGACCTGGCACAGCCAGGAGTAGAGGAGCTGTATGGGGATCTTCTTGCTGCTGCTCACCCCATGCTGTCCTGGTGATGCACTTCTTGTACACAGGGCTGCAGTGAGGGCAGCAGTGCAGGGTTGTGCCCCTCAAAGCAGTGGCAGGCGCAGGGGGTGCGTCATCGGGGCAGTGACGGGGGAACTTGCAGCACCGAGGTGATCCCGGCATGGCACCACTGTCCCCAGCCACTCCGAGTTGTGCCTGCAGGGCTGTGGAGGCCCCGGGGCAGGGAAGCAGGGTGGGAACCCACAGCCTGCACCTGCCCTGCATACAGATCTGGGGGTCAAGGGTCACCCTTGTCCCCTGGAAGTGTGTGCAGCAGCGGGGAGCCGCCCTGTCTAAGGCTGCAGCATGGGGGATTAAGGGTAGAGGACTGTAGACCCAGGTATATAATGTCTTTTGTCTGGTGGAAGAAATTTCCCTGGAATCTAATCCCCCCTATTTACATCAGTTCTTATGGGG